ATGTACTGCATATTTTCTGGGTTTTTTGTTTGCTCTGACACACACTTTTAAAACATTATTCAATACAATGTAAAGTTATGTTATTCCTCATTTATGTTAATATTTTTACAAGCCGAGTCACTTTGATTTCAGGAGATCACCTGCAGGGTATAAACAATTGTACTGCTTCTACCCTGCAGGTGATATACTGAAACGTTGTGTACTGCTGTCAAGGGTCCTGGATGAGGTCACACAGGTCAGGTACTACCTATAGGAATGACATGTCTGTCCATTCACAGGAACCCTGAGGTCACTGAAGATCTTATCATTTTACCATGCCCTCTGGCGGGAACTCAGTGATTAGTCAGCCACTGTGACTATTACATTTCTGAGCATGTCCCCGGGATATGAAGATGTCTCTTCATTCAGGTTAATACATGCTCACCACTCCTAACTCTGGTATTCTACTCTAAAGCTATTCCTGGCAATGTAGATCAGTGCAAATGAATCTATTTCAGCTGCAATAGTGTATTATACAAAGTTAATGAATAACCTTTAAATTCACATGTGTGTACCATCGGCATTCAAATAACATCCAAGAAGGAATTTTAATCCAAGACCACGTGCGCGTCTTCATTGGTAGTAAAGTCAGAGAGCCTACGCACCTATGGAACAGTGATCATGTTCATGGGAAATCTAGACCGCCAGCGTGAAAAGCTGAGTTGGGGGGGAGGGGGCCCACCTTTAGTAGAATCTAGTCTTCCAGGGCATGTGCTAGTTCTTGTACGTGGTCCACAGTGGATAGAGGAAGAGTTGAGAATCTCCAATGTGACCTCATCCAGGTGAATGCTTATGGGAAAGGAAAATGTGCTAGTTCTTGTGCATGGAGGAGTTTGGGAAGAGTTGAGAATCTCCAATGTGACCTCATCCAGGTGAATGCTTATGGGAAAGGAACTGTGCTAGTTCTTGTGCATGGTCCACAGTGGAATCTCTGTATTGAGGTAGACAGAAAAAGTAGAATAGACAGAACATAAAACATGGAAGGACATGGCGAAAAGATGTGAAGGGGTTTGGGAAGAGAGGAGGCTCCAGAATCTCTTATGTGACCCCTTTCAGGAAAAAGGTTTATAGGAAAGGAAATGTGCTAGTTCTTGTTGGGGATCCACAATGGAATCTCTGTAATGAGGTTGAAAGAAAAAGTAGAATAGACAGAACATAAAACATGGAAGAACAGGGGGGAGGATGGAAAGGGTTTTGGGCAAAAGAGGAAGCTCCAGAATCTCCTATGTGACCCCTTCCAGGATAAAGGCAGATCAGAAAGGAGGTGTGCTAGTTCTTGCGCATGGTCCACAAGGAATCTCTATAATGAGGTGGGCAGAAGAAGTAGGATAGATAGAGGAAGCTCCAGAATATCCTATGTGACCCCTTCCAGGATAAAGGCTGATCGGAAAGGAGGTGTGCTAGTTCTTGCGCGTGGTCCACAAGGAATCTCTATAATGAGGTGGGCAGAAGAAGTAGAATAGATAGAACATAAGACAATATGGGAGGACAGGGGGGAAAGCCGGGAAGAGGGGAGGCTCCCATTTGATAAGTCTCTGATGGCATTATCAAATGTGCGGATGAGATTGATTATATAAACGTTCGGACCAAAATCTACTTTAGAGAGTGTTGTCACCCCAAGACAGGAAGTGGGTGGGATCACCAAGTTTAAAAGAAAGAAAACTAATGCAGCTGCCACATCTATGAACGGTTAGGCTGCAGCAGGACAGACGGGCAAGGGGTACTATCTTTTAGAGGGGTCAGTGATGGCAGCCTGCATCTTTATCTCATGATATGGTCCCTTTAAGTTTCATTTGGACCGGGCCATCTGCCATGTGTGCAGAAGATTTCTCCGGGAGCCATTTGTGGGAAGCAGAGTCATGGGGCTGTTCTGTACAGGAACGCTGTGGGGGGATGTGTTCCCTGAGCTGCAGACTGAGCTTGGCTCAGCCACGTCTACAAATAGAGGGGCTGGCTCCCAACACACACACGTTACATACAGTGCAGCCCACCACTGCTAGGGCCTCCTATTACAATACACAGCCAGCATCTACGAGGAGGGAGAGGGGCAGCTCCTATTACAAGGGGAGTCCAACCTGATGTCCATTCTATGGAACACACAGAGCTTCCTTTATATATATTATACTGCACGTCTCCTATAAGCTGGAGATACATGCAACAATCTGATTGTACAATCTTCTACACCAAGCGCGACAATGGTCTTCATGAGGAATCCTGTGAAGCTGCACAAGTACATAAGCTTCTTTTGGGGCAGAATTGTGCATTTTATGACCCCACAGACATAAAAAAAGCCTCTAAAAATCAGGGGTGGGCAACTCCTGCACCTCCAGCTGTTGTAGAACTACAAATCCCATGAGGCATTGCAAGAATCTCACAGCCACAGGCATGACTCCCAGAGACAGATGCATCATGGGATTTGTAGTTTCACCACAGCTGGAGCGCCGCAGTTTGCCCACCCCAGCTCTAAATCAGCTGGCTGTGTGAATGAGGCCCTAAAGGATGGCGAATGCACGGAGTTCATAGGCCGCAGAGAGGGAATTTGATCAAACCTGGAGCAGTCACCCATGGCAACCAATCAGCTTATCTCTCTCATTTTTAAAGCTTATTTCAACAAACTGAAGAGGTAGCTGATTGGTTGCCCTGGACATCTGCTCCAGTTTGGATAAATTCCCCTTTCTGTATATTGTTTTTGATACTAAAAGTGATTTTGTGGAGGCCATAGGAGCTTCCAACCTGCCCCCAGACCTATCACATTGCCAATGCGGGCCAGTGGAATGCAGTGTTTAAAAGCTGCATATTAGCTTTGGGCAAAGTGCCGCTTCCCAACATCTTGGGGCCACATACAGGTTCCATAGTGCTCAATAAACAGCCGACAAGGCCAAGACCTGTAGTTTTTTAGCAGCTGCAGGGTTAATTGGCATGCTGGGCCTTGCAGTGCAATAATAGCACCAGGATGCCAAAGCATAACAGACGTTTCCCCACATCTGCCCAATGCATCACCATCTGCAGAAGTCAGTCAGTGTTTATACAAATGCCGTGTACAGAGACACGGAGGGGGAATTTCTCACAGCCGGAGCAGAAGGACTCTGGAGTAGCCGTGCATAATAACCAATCAGCTTCTCTCTTTAGTTTGTCCAGTTACGTTTTTAAAATGAAAGAGAGAAGCCGATTGGTTGCCATGGATGACTGCTCCATATTGTGTCCGATCCAGTTTTGATTAATTCCCCTCACAGGCCTCTCATTACAATGGTGTCTCATGAATTAGGATGTATTCCTCCAGTCAGTGATATTTGGTGCAAGGGGGTCTTATCCTATAAAATTCTGCATACGAGACAGGATTAATGTTCACCTTTTTTAATACTATAGACCAGGGGTAGGCAACCTGGGCACCCCAGCTGTTGTGAAACTACAAGTTCCATGAGGCATTGCAAGAATCTCACAACCACAAGAATGACTCCCAAAGACAGATGCATCATGGGATTTGTAGTTTCACCACAGCTGGGGGGCCCAGGTTGTCTACCCCTGTTCTAACTGAAATTGATATCCCATTAATGGGTTACAGGTCTGTAAGACATAACAGGCCTTTATGTAGAGGTTGCCCACCCCTGAAACAGACTATGCAGTCTAGGGGCCCCAGTGTGTTTAAAACGCTGTGTAGTATAAGAATGTGGCCCTTAATTTACCATTAGGCCATGATGAGCATCCCCAAAGCCTGACAGATAAACTCGCATTGGTCCACCCTGTTCTGGGACACTTTGATCGTTAAAAGCGTGCTCCCAGCATCCCAGGAGCGAGCGCACTTCCATGTTCCAAATCCAAACCCAATTCATTTAAATGGCACCCAATGCACCTCCCAGCAGTGGTACCACAATACCATGCGTTGCGCTGAAAAAAAGCAGTGCGTGCAGTAATAGAAAAAGACAAAGGTGTGAAGTGGCCCTTAAACCAAGGGCAACATTATAATACTGCACATGGATTTTTAACACACTGGGGCCCCTAGACTGCATAGTCTAAGGCAGGGATGAGCAAACTCCGGCCCTCCAGCTGTGGTGAAACTACAAATCCCATGATGCATCTGTCATCTGTGTGGCTGCGAGAATCTTGCAATGCCTCATGGGATTTGTAGTTCCACTACAGCTGGAGTTTGCACAACCCTGGTCTAAGGTAAACTCAGCATTCACTTCAATGGGTACTGCGGCCGCATCTGAATGGACCCACCTGGGATACCTGCTGCAAAAATCCACATCTGCAGCTTTGAATGAATGAGTGGGCCCTATAAGTTTTAGTTTCCTGCAAAATCAGCTGAGCACTGGTCCTGACCTGTTTTAGGGTGGCTCCTTTCCCTTGAAGGGCCCTTTGGAGCCACCCTTGTATGTGCTAGCAAGCTTTGTGTGCCTCTACAAACACAGCCAAGCAAGCCACGCCCCTTTTTTGTGCTCTGCCGCTCCTTTGAGCGACCCCCCTTCTTTTTCCATCTAGTAGATGAACAGTCCTTACCCTTGCAGGGCTCTATGAAGTCACCCATGTGTGTGCTAGTAAGCTTTGTGTATCTCTACAAACACAGCAAAGCAAGCCACGCCCCTCCTTTCTGCTCCACCCTCCTGTCTCCATCTAGTAGATGAACAGTCCTTTCCCCTTGCAGGGCCCTATGGAGCCACCCATGTGTGTGCTAGTAAGCTTCGTGTGTCTCTACAAGCACACAGACACAGCAAAGTAAGCCACGCCCCTCATTTCTGCTCCACCCTCCTCTTTCCATCCAGTAGATGAACAGTCCTTTCCCTTGCAGGGCCCCATGGAGCCACCCTTGTATGTGCTATTAAGCTTTGTGTGTCTCTACAAAACACAGCAAAGTAAGCCACGCCCCTCCTTTCTTCATCTAGTAGATGAACAGTTGCTGGAGACCGCTCTGTCCTTTGTGATCTTGCACTGGAGAGGAAGTTCAGGCAAGCCAAGCAGAGAGAGTTGGAGCTATTTAGGGACAATTGGAGGCTCCTGGGTACCGCTGGCCACTGTTTAGATTTTACAGGGATCTCTGGAAATGTGAGCAGCAGGTGGCCAGGCTGACACCACCCAGCTGAACAGACTTTGATTGAAAAATTAAAGGAGTTGGTAGGAAAAACAACTTTAGATCAGTATGAGGATCTATCCATTTAGGATGGTCCTCGCACTACACTCTTGTTGGTAGATCTAAAGGAGATTGTACAATCAGATTGTAACATGTGACGTGAGCTTTAGATGGGAGCCAGTTAACCTAGCGGTATGTCTTTGGAGCATGGGGGTAGACCCATGGGAGCTCAGGGAGAGCACGCCAACTCCATGCAGAGTGTCCTGGTTGGGATTTGAAGTGAGGACCCCAGTGCTGCAAGGCGGGAGTGCTAATGGGGTGCCAGCGCTCACAATACACAGCCGGCGGGGAGGATTCATGCGTCCATGCCGTTTGGCAGGGATGGGGGGAGATCGGGCAATGAGCCCGATTCCCCCTATAGCCGACCATACAATCTACGGGATAAACCTACACAATGCATTCAGGGCCGGCTCTTGCACTACGCAGTCGGTAGACCTAAGGGTCACCATACATGTTACAATCTGATTGGACGGTGTACGATCGCCAGCTCCTTGTCCCCGATGACATACACTGAACACAATAGACCGTTATGCATCAAAACGTACAATGAGCGAGTGCAAAAAGCATGCTGCAAGTGAAACCCGCCTTACCTGGCGTCAAACTTCAGCCCGTCCTTCAGGGTGCCGTTGTAATGGTAGCGGACAAAGTCGCCCATCTGCACCTCTCTGGGGCAGGTCTTGGGGATGTCATAGCGGTCTATGACGACGTCTTCCAGGGGTCCGGAATCACAGGAGACGCTGAGGATCAGGACTTGGATCCAGACTAGAAGACTGCCGGCGATCATGGCTGCAGGAGACTGGTCAGGGGGGGAGCACTGCAGTCCTCACTCATTCACTGCCAAGCCTTCTGGTTAGAAAGGAATTTTTGTTAAAATATAATAAAATATATTTCTCAAATTTATCATTTCATATAGTAAAAAAATAAAATAATAATAGCTGAAATATATAATTTAATTCTAAAAAAAAATGCACCAAAGCCTCCACAAACTCCCCAGATATTAACTCGTAAAAGTGGTGACATCATCACTGTGCTGTACATAGTCTGTACAGAGAGCTGTTGGAGGGACCCGCAGCAGGAAAACTACAGGAGAGGGCAGAGACAAGACCAGTCACCCTGCACAAGGAGAGAGAGCAGCAGTGACCGGTCTTTATTACAGGAGGGGGCGGAGACAAGACCAGTCACCCTGCACAAGGAGAGAGAGCAGCAGTGACCGGTCTTTATTACAGGAGGGGGCGGAGACAAGACCAGTCACCCTGCACAAGGAGAGAGAGCAGCAGTGACCGGTCTTTATTACAGGAAGTGTCACACTGGATTACTGCACAGATCTGGAAGAAATACACAAAGCTCACCAAGATTCCAGGAAGAATACACAGGACTCTTGTAAATATAAAATATTTACTTATCCTGGAGTTCAGCTTTAAAAACAGGAAATTAATATTTTTCTAATAAATTATTTAAAGTAAATAAAGTACATATAAACACAATAACAGTGTCGTCTATCATAAATATTTGCCATTTTAAAAAAAGCAAAAAACTTATTTTTCATTCTTTGCTGCATCTCAGTCCTGCTGATCATGTGCACCCTCTTTGCAGCCACTTCCTGTCTACATGCCCTCCCATGATGGCTGGACTGTATCATCGGCGTGGGCTTCCTGATGGTGACAACAGCGGACCATCCCTACCTAATGTGTGTGGCCTCCATCAGAGGTCCGTGTGACATGGTGGCAACACACAAGCACACTTGGGAAAAAGGGGCATAGCGTTGTCACCCTATAACAGGAAGTGCCTGAAGCAGGCCTTTCATGGCAGGATCACCAGGTAATATTTAAAGATTGAAAATAACTAGTCATGAGATTTTAGTGACTGGGTTTACATTTACATAACTCAGATCCCTGCTACCGATTGGCAGACACAAGTTCTTCTTACACATCCGATAGATCTGCGTCAGCGAACAAACGCCAGATGACCGGGATCTCGATGAAAGTCTTTTAGGGCCCGTTCACAGCCAGAACGCACTGCCTCACATTGCGGCCCGGCTCACTTTTTTGTGGTGCAGGAGGCCCCCTCCCGCCGCACCGGATCGCAAGGCATATTTTCCCTTCGGTCCAGTGCGATGGAATGCTGCAAATTATACTATTTTGATTGCACTGAACTGGAGCAGACCGCAGGCACAATGTGCCTTGCGATCCCGTGCGGCCGGAGGGCGTGGCTACGGTGCCATTCACTTCAATGGCCCGCCATGCCCCCTCCTGCCCCACAAAAAAGTGAGCCGGCCGCAATGCGAGGCAGAGCATTCTGACTAGAATCGGGCTGGAACGCACTGCATCAGGTGTGAACGGGCCCTTAGTGAGAGTTGAACAGCTGACACGACAGGAAGTAGAAACATTTACTTATCAGAATATCAGTGTTGGCAGTCCAGGATCCTTAACGGGATTGGATGGACCAACCGCAAATGAATCATCCGCACCCACTGAGGATCCTGCACTGCCAACACTGATCTTCTGATCCTAGATGCCCCATACACTGGAAGCTGGTTGTCAGACATGTATCTGGAAGATGGCCGCCCATCATGTATGTGATATGATCCAGTCTCAGCCATGCCACTGGGATGAGGAAAACTTCTGGGTGGTCTGAGCTCATAATGACAGTAAATATCCAACTCGGTGTCTCATTAACACAGACAACAGTAAGAAGTCACATTCACATGGGAGGAAGTTGGAGCCAGGTGGGGAGGGGAGGACAGGGCAGATGCTTCAGGACCCCCCTGAGTTTTGGGGGCCCAATCATGATTTCTCCTCCCATTTACTTACAAGCCACACACCACCATACATTCCGTATAGAATGTGGGCCAATGCAGACCTAGGCGACACCTCACCGTGCGGCAATCGTGCACGATTCGGCGCGGATTGCTGCTCGGTCAGGTGTCGCCTAGGTCTGCACCGATCGCGCTGAGGGTGCCATTATTTTCTACTGGCACCCCAGTCACGCCGCGGGTAAGCGGATCGCACGGTTTCCCACCGCAATTCCGCCCGTGCTTCTGAACACAGCCGCGAGTCGAGTGTCGCAAAAAAAAAGGTACATGTACCTTTTGTCTGCGATTGCCGCGCATTGTGCAGGACCGCGCCATCTGGGACGTGCGATCCTGGAACGCGTAGGTCTGCACGGGGCCTTAAGCATGATTTATTTTTCAGCACATCCCTGCTGAGTTCTCCTCTCCAAAATGTCTGGCTGTTATGTCCATCCGCAGGCTTCAGTCATTTCTCAGAGTCCTCCACGTGGCTGTGCCTGCAATGACTCCGGGTTTGTTTCGGAGACAGTTGTAGGAGACAGTCAGAGACGTACTACAGGAGGGACCAGATATGTGTTGTAAGAGACAGTCAGAGACGTACTACAGGAGGGACCAGATATGTATTGTAAGAGACAGTCAGAGACGTACTACAGGAGGGACCAGATATGTATTGTAAGAGACAGTCAGAGACGTACTATACGAGGGACCAGATATGTGTTGTAAGAGACAGTCAGAGACGTACTAGAGGAGGAACCAGATATGTGTTGTAAGAGACAGTCAGAGACGTACTACAGGAGGGACCAGATATGTATTGTAAGAGACAGTCAGAGACGTACTATACGAGGGACCAGATATGTGTTGTAAGAGACAGTCAGAGACGTACTAGAGGAGGAACCAGATATGTGTTGTAAGAGACAGTCAGAGACGTACTACAGGAGGGACCAGATATGTGTTGTAAGAGACAGTCAGAGACGTACTACAGGAGGGACCAGATATGTGTTGTAAGAGACAGTCAGAGACGTACTACAGGAGGGACCAGATATGTGTTGTAAGAGACAGTCAGAGACGTACTAGAGGAGGAACCAGATATGTGTTGTAAGAGACAGTCAGAGACGTACTACAGGAGGGACCAGATATGTGTTGTAAGAGACAGTCAGAGACGTACTACAGGAGGGACCAGATATGTGTTGTAAGAGACAGTCAGAGACGTACTACAGGAGGGACCAGATATGTGTTGTAAGAGACAGTCAGAGACATACTACAGGAGGGACCAGATATGTGTTGTAAGAGACAGTCAGAGACGTACTACAGGAGCGACCATATATGTGTTGTAAGAGGCAGTCAGAGTCATACTACAGGACGGACTGGACACATGTTGTAAGAGACAGTCAGACACTGGAGACATACTACAGCAGGGACTGGACATGTGTTGTAAGAGACAGTAAGAGACTGGACACATATTACAGGAGGGACTGGACATGTGTTGTAAGAGACAGTCAGAGACTGGACACATACTACAGGAGGGACTGGACACATGTTGTAAGAGACAGTCAGAGACTGGAGACATACTACAGCAGGGACTGGACATGTGTTGTAAGAGACAGTAAGGGACTGGAGACATACTACAACAGGGACCAGATATGTGTTGTAAGAGACAGTCAGAGTAATACTACAGGAGGGACCAGATATGTGTTGTAAGAGACAGTCAGAGACTGGAGACATACTACAGCAGGGACTGGACATGTGTTGTAAGATACAGTAAGAGACTGGACACATACTACAAGAGGGACTGGACATGTGTTGTAAGAGACAGTAAGAGACTGGACACATAATACAGGAGGGACTGGATATGTGTTGTAAGAGACAGTAAGGGACTGGAGACATACTACAACAGGGACTGGATATGTGTTGTAAGAAACTGTCAGAGACTGGATACATAGGGGCCACAGGTTTTCCACTTGTGATCAAGAACAATACATAACACAGCCATTCTCAACCAGGGTTTCTCCAGAGCAGGGCTAGGCAACCTTGGAACTCCAGCTGTGGTGAAACTACAAATCCCATCAAGAGGGTGAAGGTCCACTTCAAGTCGCATTTTCCCCACTAACCACCAGTGAGTTGGTTTTAGAAACCTCAAAATGGGTTCTAGGGTTCCTCTGGGGGTAGATGTGGCTATCATACGTTAAACGTTTGCGCTGTGATTCCGAAGTTTAGGATTTTAGGACCCAGTGATATCCAGACAGGTTTTTTGGAGAGGGTGGGCACAAGTCCACATACAGCTCAGACAGCACCCAGTTAAGTGCCACCATCAATGCTGGGTAGAAGATGAAGTTCTGAAGGGTGCAGACTATGGAGGTGGATGGAGCAGGATCTGATGGACATCTGCACAGGTTTAGGTGACCCAGGAGGAGCTGCTGATGTGTCTCCAGCCTAGAGGTGTCACCCAGAAAACATCTATGTCCCTGGAAGGAGCTCTTCTATGAGTCCCAGCCAGGCTGGCAGTGAGCAGCCCCCTCAGCCCCCCTCCTGGCTGATTCCTTCGCTGCTTCTCGCATTAGGCTCAGTCCTACAGACCAGCCCCACCGCTGGCTGAAACTTTTTAGCGAACGTTATTAAACTTTCCGTGCAGTCGCTGAAAGTTGCTGATGGCAGCTGCCATGCTGCTGCTCCTCCTGTGGAGCTCCGTCGTCCTGTCCCGGGCTCAGTATGAGCAGTACAGCTTCCGAGGCTTCCCCAGATCCGAGCTCCGACCCTTGCAGACCACCTATGGCCAAGCCATGCAGCTCTATGAGGCTCAGTCCTGGAAGGAGGCGACCAAATCGCTGGAGGCCAGCCTGAGGCTCCACCGACTACTGCAGGACAGCGAGGAGTTCTGCGGCCAGAGCTGCTCCAAGGAGACCTCCATCCCCGGGCTGGAGGAAGAGGAGGACGAGCAGGAGTGGAAGATAGAGCTCAGGCTGTTCGGAAGGGTCCTCTCCAAGGCTGTGTGTCTGAGGAAATGCAAAGCCACCCTGCCAGTCTTCCAGCAACCCTACCCAGACAGAGAGACTCTCAAAGCCTTCCAGAGAAGGGACCCCTACCAGTATCTGCATTACACCTATTTCAAGGTGAGGAGCTCCCTAACCTGGCATTGGAGACCCCTAACTGGGCTTTGGAGACCCTTAGCTGGGCATTGCAGACCCTTAGCTGGGCATTGCAGACCCTTAGCTGGGCATTTGAGACCCTTTGCTGGGCATTTGAGACCCTTAGCTGGCAGTACGAGATCCTTAGCTGGCCATTGGAGACCCTTAGCTGGGATTTGGAGCCTCTTAACTGGGCATTGGAGACCATGCTGGGTGTTGGAGACAGTTAACTGGGCATTGCAGACACTTAGCTGAGCACTGGAGACCCTTAGTTGGCCATTAGAAACCCTTAGCTGCATATTGGAGACCCTTAGCTGGCCATATAGGCCCTCCTTACCATCCTGTCTTGAATTGTATTGTAATTGTAATGTCTTCCTTATATTGTAAAGCGCTGTGCACACTGTTGGCGCTATATAAATCCTGTATAATAATAATATAGGTTCTTAGCTGGCCATAAAAGATCCTTAGCTGGCCATTGGGGACCCTTAGCTGGCCATTTGGACCCTTAGCTGGCCATTGGAGACATTTAGCTGGGCATTGGAGACCCTTAGCTGGCCATTGGAGACCATTAGCTAGGCACTGGATACCCTTAGCTGGCCATTGGAGACCCTTAGATAGGCACTGGATACCCTTTGCCAGCCACTGGAGACCCTTAGCTGAGCATTGGAGACCCTTAGCTGAGCATTTGAGACTCTTTGCTGGCCATTGGAGTTAAGTGTACAGAGATTGTATGATCAGATTGTAACGTGTATGGTGAGCCTCAGCTCTGCCATCAACTATGTAGTGCAAGGACCTGCCAGATTTGATACAAATTGAATGGAGTGTTTGGGTTTGTCCTCATATTACAGTTTTTACAGGGAGGGGGCATGGCTGTGCATTGAAGTCAATGGCACCGCAGCCACGCCCCTCACCCACAGTGGGATCGCCCGCACCCGGAATGCAGGCACATTAGTGCCTGCGTTCCGGTCCAGTGTGATCTGCAATAATGCTGCAAGCACTATTTTTTTACAGATCGCACTGGACCGGAATGCAGGCACTAATGTGCTGGCGTTCCGGGTGCAGGCGATCGCACTGTGGGCAGGGGGGCATGGCTGTGTCCTGTCCTCCCGCGGTGCTCGTGTGGCCGACGTTGCACACGGGGAGAGGTGGCCTGCCCCTTTCCGTCTGTGGCGTCTTAACACATTCAGCCGGCAGCTCGTAGCCAGTTCCTTTTGCGCCCGAGGCAAGAAAAAAATGTGCCCCCCCAACAGGCGTGTGGCATCACCCAGCGCCCTGCCTCCAGGATTTTTTTTGTATTTTTTACTATTTTTATTTATTTTTTATTTCATTTAAATTTACATTTTTACTCTTGGGGGGTTTCGGGAAATATTTTAGGGGTCTAAACAGCCCCCTGATATTTGCCTTTTAAAATAGAAAAAGAAATTGAGGACACAAAGTCCTCAATCTCTTTTTCTGCACCCTCTGTTCTAAATGAATGGAAAGCACAGAGGCTTCCCATTCATTCAGAAACTATTTCACTATCATCTAGTTCTGAATAAGGAGGAGCCTCTGTACAGAGTGTTTCTCCCTATTGAGAAACTCATAAATTAACAGGAAGTGATGTATATCACATCCTGTTCATTCATAACTGGGGACACATAGTACTATGTGTCCCCAGTTATTTACATACACTGGAGTGATCAGCTGACCGCTCCAGTGTTTGTCCTGCACAGAGGATCGGTACATATCACTGATATGTACCGATCCTCCGCCGCTTGGCCACGCACACAGGGGGGCTCAGCTTCTCCTCTGGATCACCGCTGCTCTCCTGGGCAGAGGCAGCGGGGGATCCGAGGAGAAGTAAAAGAAGCGCTGCAGCCGCCGTGTACGGAGCACGGTGAGGAGAGAGAGAGTTGCCGGCTGTCAGATCCTGGCCGAGCGTCTCTCTCCTCACTGCTTGGCCTTATTTCTGTGATAGCGGCTCCCTCGTCCGCCGGCCGCAGCGCTTCCTTCACTTCTCCTCGGATCCCCGCTACATACAGATGGGGGAGAACAGCGGGGATCCAGAAGAGAAGCCCCAGGACATCGCGATGGACTGGTAGATCGCGATCGACCTAATGGGCACCCCTGGTATAGTGTATGGCCAGCTGTACAGTGGAGATAGGCATTACTGAACCATCAGACATGTATGCCCGATAGGATGGGCTGAAGATGGCTTTGGTCCCGTGAGTGTGTGTGTGAAGAATGTGCACACTGCAGCAGGGCCAGCTCATGTTAGAGCAAATAATATCACATCCTTCCTGGGTGTGTATAATCTTTGCAAGCTGCTCCATACACATTGGAACAGGGGTGGGCAACTTCGGCACTCCAGCGGTTCTGGAAACTACAAGTCCCATGAGGCATTGCAAGACTCTGACAGCCACAAGCATGACTCCCAGAGGCAGATGCATGATGGGATTTGTAGGTGCCAACTGTCACTTTTAGGAACCCTGACGATCTGGTTCAGTCCAGTAGAAGCATTTGAAAAAACTGCAGTCACCTTGGCTGAGAGTAAATCAGGTAAGAGCTTAGTAAATCATATGAATGGAGGGTCTTTGGCTTGCAATTTTTGCTCAGCTTGCCCAAAAGTGGCATGAAATGAAGATTGAAGTACTAGAGGGTGGGCAGAGCCGTGGCAATATTTGGGTGATGATGTCAGCCAGCACCCTCTACCCCTGTGTGTACATTCTGCTGCTGGCCGGGGAATCTCCCGGATGTAGATGAATGGGGCCTGGGATCCATCATTGGTTACTGCAAGGGGTCAGCAACTCCGGCCCTCCAGCTGTGCTTTAACTACAAATCCTAACATGCCTCTGCCTCTGGGAGTCATGCCTGTAACTGTCAGTCTTGCAATGCCTCATGGGACTTGTAGTTCCACAACAGCTGGAGGGCTGGAGTTGCCCACCCCTGGGTTACTGGCATGCCAGCGGTGTCCTAGCAAATACTGAACTCTCAGCAAGAAGCCATCAAACTTATGACAGCTTCCCAGCACAGGAGGCCGGGTGTCACCTGGAGTGGGTACCGGGTGACACCCCGCCTTGACGTCATTGCGCATGCGCGTGACATCACACACATACGCAATGATGTCACTCGCATATGCGGCCATCTTGGTCAGGGACGCTGGCAGAGAGAGGAGGGGACGTTCACCCGGCAGTAAAGGTATGCCGCCGGGTCCCCTCCTCTGTCCAACCAAAAATGCATCCTAATGTATCTCTATGGTATTTATGAGCTCTGTTCACACCAGCGCAGTCTGTTCTGGACCAGAGAAAAAATAATACTGCTTGGAATGCGGTAAATACGCGGCAAAACGCAATGCACCGCGTTCCAGATCTGGTCCGAAAAATAAAAAATAAAGGAAATAAATAACAGTCACAGCAAAGAATTATAATAAAAAAGATGATAAATAATAATAACAGTCACAGCAAGAAAAATTATTTTAAAAAATATGATAAATAATAATAAGAGTCACAGCAAGAAAAATGATAATTGAAAAAATATGATAAATAATAATAACAGTGACAGCAAAAAAAAGAAAAAAATCATAATAAATAAAGATGTTATTTAATAAAAGTCAGAGCAAAATATAATAAATACAGATGATGTGTAATAACATTCAGAGCAAAACATAATAAAGGTGTTATATAATCATAACAGGATACAGGAAGGGACCCTGAATGGTGACAAGATGTGTGTTTCATCAATAAAATGATCACTTTCCGAAGATTTGACCATGGTGTGCTGGTGATATATTTTACTATAGAATAATAACAGTCACAGCAAAAAATATTATAATAAATGAAGGTGATGAATAATAACATTCACAGCAAAAATAAATAAATACAGATGATAACTATTAATAACAGTCAGAGCAAAATATAATAAATATAATTGATATATAATAATAACAGTCATAGCAAAAAGAAATTATGATAAATGAAGGTGATGAATAATAACAGTCAGAGCAAAAAAATAATAAATAAAGATGGTAAATATTAATAAGTCACAGCAAAAAAATAATAAAGAAGGTAAATATTAATAACAGCCACAGCTAAAAAATATTATATTATAATAAATAAAGGTAACATATAATAATAATAACAGTCACAGCAAAAAAAAAAATGTTTTAATAAATAAAGGTGATATATAATAATAATAACAGTTGCAGCAAACCATCTGTTTTCTTTATGTCAATAAAGATCAGGAAAATTGTTGGAGTATGTTGTTGGGTTCTTTTGGGGTCCCAGTATTGCCCAATGAGATGTTTAGTATACCTTTAGGGAAAGTGTGTATACTGTGCTTGTGTCGGTACAGATGTGTGTAAATCATTCATTGTATTGTGCTAGCGAAGGTCAGATTTCACAGCGGTGATCAGGGGAGGGGGGGGCTGCCACGTCTCCAGACATGCAGTGACTGTGCCTGGGAGCCCACTTCATCTCCCACAATCATTCCCAGACACAGAGACCTGTGTTGTTCCTCCTAAACACCCCTCGGGCCTGCACTGCTCAGCTTATCCTTGTGGATCACACTCATACACACTCATATGAGAATATACATATAAAAGGAATGTAAATGATTAGATATAAACATAAAATATATCAGCTCAATGTAAATCATTTTATAATTGTGTTTTCATGCAGTAAAATCTTGTGTCCACGTATAGTATGTACATAGTATGATATCGGGGAAACCTAAGAGGGGGAATTGCCCTCTGTTTGGGAGATTTTCTCTAACTTCCTGTTGCGTCTCTGGCACGGGTAAGGGGAAATCTCCCCAATGGAACAGGACTGGATCGGGGTTTTAGCCCATAGAATATCATATTCTAGTGTGTTTAAAGTATAATATAGTACAGTCTGTACACAGAATCGTATAGTACAGGATGTATATAGTATAGTGTAGTATGTACATAGTATAGCACAGGATGTATATAGTATAGCACACAATGTATATGGTATAGCACAGTATGTACATAGTATAGTAAAGGATGTACATAGTATAGCACAGTACAGTACATGATGTATATAGTATAGCACAGTATGTACATAGTATAGCACAGTATAGTACAGGATGTACATAGTATAGCACAGTATAGTACAGGATGTATATAGTATAGCACAGTATAGTACAGGATGTATATAGTATAGCACAGTATAGTACAGGATGTATATAGTATAGTACAGGATGTATATAGTATAGCACAGGATGTATATAGCACAGTACAGGATGTATATGGTATAGTACAGGATGTATATAGTATAGTACATGTATATAGTATAGCACAGGATGTATATAGTAAAGTACAAGTATATAGTATAGCACAGGATGTATATAGTATAGTACATGTATATACTATAGTACAGTATGTATATAGTATAGTACAGTATGTATATAGTATAGTACAGGATGTATATAGTATAGTACAGGATGTATATAGTATCGTACATGTATATACTATAGTACAGGATGTATATAGTATAGTACAGTATGTATATAGTATAGTACAGTATGTATATAGTATAGTACAGTATGTATATAGTATAGCACAGGATGTATATAGTATAGTACAGGATGTATATAGTATAGTACATGCATATAGTATAGTACATGTATCTAGTATAGTACAGGATGTATATAGTATAATACATGTATATAGTATAGCACAGGATGTATGTAGTATAGTACATGTATATAGTATATTACAGGATGTATATAGTATAGCACAGGATGTATATAGTATAGTACATGTATATAGTATTGTACAGGATGTATATAGTATAGTACAGGATGTATATAGTATAGTACATGTATATAGCATAGTACAGGATAGTATAGTACATGTATATAGTATAGTACAGGATGTATATAGTATAGTACAGGATGTATATAGTATTGTACATGTATATAGTATAGTACAGGATAGTATAGTACATGTACAGTATATAGTATAGTACAGGATGTATATAGTATTGTACAGGAATAGTTTATTTTTCCTAGTGTTCTTCATAAATTATTTAATGAAAAGAAAAGCACTACAAGGAAGCATTTAATACACATGATTTCTCTGCATGCTTGGTGACAGGTTCTCTTTGAGGCTCACCTATCATAGGCTCTGCCATGTCTTGTAGATCAATGAGCTGGAGAAGGCGGTGTCGGCTGCCCATACGTTTTTACAGAAGAACCCCACCCATGAGATGACGCTGCGCTACATGAATTACTACAAAACTCTGCTGGAAGTGGATGAGTTTCTCATAGATTTGGAGGCTCAGCCCTTCGAGGTGAGTCAACTCAGAACACCACGCGTAAGGAATGTTGCTTTTTTTTTTCTTTCTCATCAATAGCACACAGGAAACACAATTAGGAAAACTGTTCAGAGGAGCTCCAGTAAGTGATAGAGCGCACTGGCCTGGCTGGAGGACATCCAGTGTGATCCAGCCTGACTGTCCCTGCCCTGCCCCTTTCATTCATTGGATTTCAGTTCTTTCAATCATGGCGGCTCAACATTACATGTGCATGCAAATGCAGCCTGCCGCGGAATGCCCACTGCTCCAGACTTAAAGGAGAACTATGGAGTTAAGTATTTTCCCCATAGTTCTCCTTAGGGTAACGGGAGGACACAAACTAGCGTACTCCCGTCACCCTAGGCTCAAGAACTATGAGGTGAGTGGAAAGCACTCACCTCATAGTTCTCCTTTAAACACACACTTTAAGAGATTTTTAATATTTGCATAACTCCTCCCATCAGACAGCACACTGCTTGCATCAGGTCTGAGGGCTCTCAAAAGGCGTACTGAGGCAGTGTGCTGTGTATTTCAGGAAGATAGGCATATCACCCCGCTGGCCCCTCCCACCAACCATGATTTGCTTGCATAATATAATATGCACAGGCACCTAGTAAAGACATCACTAGGTCTTAAATGATGTACTGTATATAATTAAAATCAGAAAAGTTTCATTCAAAAATTGAACGAGTAATAAAAAATTGTGACTGTCCGCAGAGCATATTTGTGAAGGCGGTAAAGTCGTACAACGCTGGGGACTTCAGGCACAGCACAGAAGAGATGGAGCAGGCTTTGCCTCTGTATTACAAAGCATACAACAACTGCCTGACAGGCTGTGAGGGGGTCTATGAAATGAAAGAATTTAAAGACTTCTACCCGGCCGTTGCAGGTAAGTGTGTGTGTCTGTGTGTGTGTGTGCCATGAGCTTGGCGGTGTTGAATTCTAAATGGTGAAGCTCTTCCTCGGCTCTCCCGCTTCCCTCTACTCTGCGCCCATCATGGTATTTGTGCATTGCTCCAGTGCAGTTATGTAGTGTGACATTTCCAGCAGAGCAACAGAGCTAGGATCATGGCCTATGATGTGCGAGGTACGTCATAAAAACCTTTAACAAAATATCTTGGCCGTACCTGTTCTGCTTTGCTTCTCTTCCCCCCGTGATGCTGTGAAGTCACTATTATTGGGGAGTCCTAGCTTTCATTTTATGGAACCAACGGGGTCAGAGAAGAGTAGCAAGGCATAACAGGTATTCCAAGGTATTTTGTTAAAGGTTATTATGGCGTACCTCACACACCCGAGGTCATCGATCAGCACTGGCACCCCGTTTGCTTTATAAAATGAAAGCTAGGACTCCCCAATAATAGTGACTTCTAATAGTGACGGGGGAAGAGAAGAAAGGCGTATTTTATGAAAGGTTTTTATGGTGTACCTCACACATCCTAGGTCATCTATCAGCAGTGCTGCCCCTGATTGTTCTATATTTGGTTCCTCTTGAGACCCCCTATTCTGGTTGAGGGGACCCTCCAAGAACATCTGAAACTTCAGAGAAGGGAACAACTGACAAATCTAGCTCCTCCCTCACAAATCTTCTGTCTTTTATTTTGACAGCTGAGACATGAGGGGAGGCCACAGTGTCCTAGGTTGCTAAGAGCTCTTAGCAACCTGTGATGCTCTGTCCGGCTTTCCGCCACGCTCCCTGACATTATCGGTTGCCCAGGAGCTGAGCGGGACCTTCTTGCTGGTGTCCAGCCAAGCTCCTGGCAACCAGTGACATCAATGAGCTGGGCAGGACAGACAGAGACAGGCTGACAGCAAGGCTCTAACACAGCCGCTCGTCCCTCCGCATCCACGTTCCCCCCGCTATCAGTAAAGCCAACCACCCCCATCCCCTGCTCTACGGTCTCAAGCGGAATATAGGGTAGGGACCGCCCTGGCTATCACTTCTGTGTAAAATGATTCTTGCAAATACCGCCATTAGTTTTGGTGAGGTGCATCGAAAATAAACTCAATAGACAGGCAGCTCCACTTAATACAGCAAAAAGCCATTTTTAAAGTTGAGTAGATGGTGACATCCAAGTTACTACTTAAAACTGGTGCAATGGGTAAGCCTGTTGCGGTGCTAAACATGACTAAACTATACACACCCCAGCGCTTTTGCTCATTATAAAGTCTGATGTCTTTCTCTGTTGTCCTCTTCCATTCAGATCACCTAACCGATGTCCTGGAATGTAAAGTGCAGTGTGAGGCCAACCTGACTCCGAATGTTGGAGGATATTTGGTTCAGAAGTTCGTGGCCACCATGTACCACTATCTGCAGTTTGCATATTACAAACGTGAGTAATGGCGGACGGTTCACTATGAGAACGGCTGAAGCTGGCCAGGGATAGAAGATGACAGTCACTTCTAGGCAACCGCTGGAGTCATTATTTCTCACAAGTATATTTTTTCTCTTGGCGCCATTCTTATCACAGCGGAACAATACTGATTGGCCAGAAAATCTGTCCGATTACAATATGTGACTTTTCCCTCCGTGAGAGAGAGAGGATAGATAGACAGACAGACAGATGTAGATTTACCAAAACAATATAAAAACACACATAAACCATCCATTCAATTTGTATCAAATCAGGCCGGCCCTCGCACTCCATAGTTGATGGTAGATCTAAAGCAGATTGTACAATTAGATGGTCAGCATACATACTAGGGATGCACTAATACCGCTTTTTGGGTACGAGTACTGATATATTTTTTTCGGTACTCACCGATACAGGTACAGGAAGTCTCATCAAGAAACCCAGGCGGCGTGTAATGACTCACCACCTGGCTTCCTGATTAGCCGGGAAGCCAGGCAGCGTGTAATGACTCGCCACCCCACTTCCCGATTAGCAGTAAGCCGTCTCCATGCTCCCTCGTCACCTGGTGACAAGGAAGCATAAAGCCGGCTTTCCGGCCAATCAGGAAGCCGGGGGGTGGGTAATGACTCACTGCCTGGCTTCCTGATTGGCCAGCTTTCCGACCAATGAGGAAGCTGGACAGCGAGTCATTACATGGCACCCCGACTTCCTGATTGGCTGGGAAGCCATCTCCATGCTACCTAAACACCAGGTGACGAGGAAGCATGGAGCTGGCTTTCTGGCCAAACAGGAAGCCGGGGGGCGGGTAATTATTTGCTGCCTGGCTTCCTGATTGGCCAGCTTCCCAACCAATCAGAAAACTGGGTGGCGAGTCATTACACGCCGCCCACTTCCTGATTGGCTGTGAAGCCGACTCTATGCTTCCACGTCACCAAGTGACAAGAGGGCATGGAGCCAGCTTCCCGGCCAATCAGGAAGCCAGGGGGTGAGCCATACTAGTATCGGTGCAGATACTGAGTATTTGGGTGAGTACTTGGTGACGAGGGAGCATGGGGCCAGCTTCCCGGCCAATCGGGAAGCCGGGCAGTGGGTAATGTCTCGCCGCCCAGCTTCCTGATAAAGGAAGTTCGGGTATCCGGATAGGCATCGGGAGCATTTGGGTACTCTCCCAAATACTCAGTATCGGCACCGATGCCAGTATCTGTACATCCCTACTTTAGACCAATATAATCTTTTAACTGAGCAAAATCATTTAGAGTAAAAACGGTCGTGCCACATTATGATGACATAAATGTGATAAGAATGAAATGTATTATCATTGCTTAGAAGAAAACAAAATAATAGATAATGAAAAACTAGATTCATTACACAATGTTCCAAAACTTCATTATACATGAAATGTTTTATCTCCTCTCACCAGTGCTGTTCTCATGCTAAGACCGCTCAATCTGTTTTCACAGTTAATGACGTTAAGAACGCTGTTCAGTGTGTGTCCAGCTACATGCTGTTTGACCCTACAGATACAGTAATGCAACAAAACCTGGCGTATTACAAGTTCTACAAGGAAAAGTGGGACCTCGAGGACTCTGATTTCAACCCTAGAGAGGTAACCCAAAATGATATAAACCTAAATGTTTTTTGTTGTTTGTTTTTTTTAAATCTGGCTTTTTAAAAAAAAAGTACAGTATAGTATTCGCCCTGCAAATATCTGTGAACGGTTCATTTTGGGCAAATAATAACAAAAACAAACATGTACAGTATATATACAGTATATATATATATTTTCCAGTTGAAATGTATTGTGGTGTAATTCTACATTTTGGCCACTAGATAGAGCTAAGTAGCATAGCAAAGAAGTATTTATTTGATATAGGAATGCAGCGATATATCGGAGGCCGAAAACATATCGGCCGAAAATGTCACTTTTTTTACATTTTGTGGCCGAAATAGCGGCGCATCCCTGCTTTCTCTCCCCTCCGCTGGGCGCTGCGTGTCTCAACGGGGAGGAGAGAAACTGTCACAAGAGGAGAGCGGCTCTGTGAGTGGTCGGCGTCTCCCCTCCCCGCACTGCGCATCCTCCTGTCACAGATCAGGAGAGTTGCGGTGTGGGCGGAGACAGCTAGTGCTGTCATAGGAGGCCGTTAGCTGTCAGATCGAGCTCTCCTACCTGCACCGCTCGCTCAGCCTCCTGTCACAGCGTGTCAGGAAGGAGAGCGGGTACAAACACTCAGCGATCACTGATCGCTGAATGTTTGTAAATAATTGCAGACATAGTATGTTTACTGTGTCCCCAATTATGAATGAACGGGAAGTGTTCTACATCACTTCCTGTACATTCATGATTGGGGACATAGTAAACATACTACAGGAACACTGATAGAGGGATTCCTGTTCATTTATAGCAGGGGCTGCAGAAAAAGAGATTGAGGACTTTGTGTTCTCAATCTCTTTTTCTATTTTAAAAGGGAAATATCAGGGGTCTGTTTAGATCCCTAATATTTCCCTGGAGCCCCTAAAAGTAATGTAAAAAATAAAAATATTTAATAAAATATAAAACAATGTAAAAGTTTATAAAAAATAAATAAAAATAAAATATTAAAAAAAATTAGAAAAAGAAAATTTTTGGTTTCGGCCTGACATTTTTTTCATTTCGGTTTTGAAATTTTCATTTTCGGTTTACCTCTAATTTGATATGCTCATCAGCTCCTTCTAGTGGTCATAATGCAGCATTACAGCACAATACATTCCAACTGGAAAACAAAATATTAACAATGCTCATTTTTTTTACATCATTCACCCAAAAGGAACATTGACAGATATTGGCAAATAATTGTTTATAAAAAGACCCCTTGTTTTCATTTATATTTATGTGGCCAAAAATGTTTTTGGCTGGGTTCAGCTACTCTTTCCTGTTTCAGCTTTGCACTTTCCTGACCCATATGTCTGCTTAGTGAACAGTAAACAAAAGAGTTGGATATTACCCATTCATTATTCATAATTCATTCATTATACAGTAAGCTGGCAGGTGACATAGGAAATGAAATAGGACTTACAGATTCCTCCCTATGCAACGTGAGAGAGGAACAGTAATCACAAAACTGGCTGGACTGAATTACAAGTCCTTTAGATAGTAAAGCAGATGGCATATGGAAGTCTGTTGTTTATTTAGCTGGAGCATGTTCTGCTTTAAACGAAACCTAGACTGAGAGAAATCTGTAGGCTGCTGTGTCTTCCTTCTCCTTCTGAAAATGCTATATGTCTGGCTGTCATCATAATGCAATAGCTGTAATCACTTCTGAGTCCTTGACCTGGAGCTAGCATGCAGATCAGACTTTTTTTTTACTTTGATATCACTTGTAGCAGACTTGTTTCAGGTAATTGACTCAGGAAGTATTGCAAATGACAGCATGGCAACTGTCATTTGTAGAAGGTAAGCAGAAGCACCGACCCTATTGCTCTCAGTACAGGTTCATGTTAACACCGTGCACCTTATGTGGTAACTGACTAAAATCTGGGAAATAATACTCTCTATTAGGGATGCACCGATACCAATACTAGTACTGGTATTGGTGCCGATACTGTGTATTTAGGCAAGTGCTGCCAGTATCAGGAAGCCGGGCGGCGAATCATTACACGTTGCCCAGCTTCCTGATTTGCCAGGAAGCCAGCTTCATGCTCCCTCGTTACATGGTGACGACACGGGCAAACTGACACAGTGTGAATGGAGCAGGCAGGCATGTCTGTGGGCACATCGGCAATATGACACAGGAAGGAGGGCAATACTGCCACTATGTCCCCCTCCACTCAATAACCTCCAGAGTCAGGTAGCACACGAAGGATGGCTGCTTGGGGGACTTGGCCGCCCCTCCTGCTCCGAGCCCCAGCATGTCCCGGCGCAGCGCTCAGCTCCCTGCCAGGCGTTCCCTCTACAGCGGATACATCAGCCATTTCTTGGTGACGAGGGAGCTGGCCAATCAGGATTCCAGGCGGCAAGTCATTACATGCCCCCCGGCTTCCTGATTGACCAGAAAGCTGGACACAGGCCTGAGCGGGGCCTCATGTTTAGGTTTCGCCTAAGGCCTCGCAAACTCTAGAGCCGCCTCTGGCTGGCTTCATGCTTCCTCATCACCTGTTGACCAGGGAGCATGGAGACAGCTTCCTGGCTAATCAGGAAGCCGGGTGGCCAGTCATTACATGCCACTTGGCTTCCTTAATGGGACTTCCGGTATCAGTATCAGCGAGTAACGAAAAAATAAATATCGGTACTCGATTCTGAAAAACCGGTATCGGTGCATCCCTACTCTCCATGACAAGTGTTCATTGTCACTTAGGTATTTGGCACTCCATAAATGACCATTTCCACAGTGGTAGGGGGACTATTACTATATTTTGGAACTCACTGCTGCTCTATGTCTTATAGATCTTGCACAGATATTCTAATAAAATTGGAAGAGGAAGAGTAAAGGGGCTTTTCTGGTGTAACACTGATTTCTCTCTATTTGTTTTGTGCTATTTGTCTTCCCGACAGGAAGCCACACGGTATCACAACCAGACTTTGCGCCACAAGGAGCTGCTGCAGTTTGCCCAAGATTTTCTCCGTGGGGATGACGACGAGGTAAAAATTGGAACGTAGTATTAATATGAACCATCATTAATTAGCCATATTAAGCTTTTGAAAACACCTGGTACTTCTGGGTATGGGGACCATTTGATCTTCTCCCCTTGCTCCCATTATGCAGTGCTAGATGCTTGAGGAACCATGCCCTGAGCATGGGAAGGAAAGGTATTAGGCTAATCTTAGCTATAATATGGATTGCTAAGGTGTGCAAAGAAATCTCACCAATAGTCATCAAGATATAGAAGACGTTTTCAGGTAGTCTAACTCTCCAGTATCAGTTTTAGGTAAGTGACCGTTTAATTAAGGCACTTTGTAGGCTTTCCTGACCTCCTCCAAGCCCTCACCCCTAATGCCCCCCAACAAACTGCTTATTAAACAGGTTGGCAGTCTATAGTTGTGGCATTGCAGCAGTCATTCACTTCTATTTTTTGTCTCAGCATTCCTATCAAAGTCAGAATATAAATAGTCCAAAAAGCTCTCAGGCCAGACACTTTGTAATGCTGTGGAATCACCTGGCATCCTTTGAGCCGACGAATCGACGATGGAAAACGTTGATAACGTTTTCCATCGTCGATTTTAATCGACTTAATCGAATAATTGTTGCAGCTCTAACTAGTTGCCATGTTTTAATACGCCCATGTACACGGCCCCTTAGTCTTCCTCAAGTTTGTACAAATCTTGCCCAATGCATTGTTAAGGGGACTCTGCGGCAAGAAAAGTTGCACCCATAAAAGAATTTCACTACTGCTTATCAGTACCGTGGGTGGTTAATGGAATCTTGACCGAAGAATCTGTAGCATCTGACACCGGATGTGTCAGATGTATGTGCCAGCTGTTACTTCACTATTGTGTCCCTGCACAGTTATAGTGACATAGCACCCAGCAGGTGGAACCACAGTGCCCAGCAGGGGAACCACCCATTAAGTGTTGGATGCTGAATATTTTACCAAACCTTCTAGCTCTGCAAGACAGTGTGGATTCCTTTAACCAGCAAGAGTACCTGTAAGTATAGGGTCATTTTATAGGGTCATTTTCATCATGGATGGAATGTTTCTGATGGAAGCTTCCATTCTATCACTTCTAGTCTGCATGCTACTAGCAGGAAGTTAAGCCACTTGCAGTGGAATTGCCCTGGAAAATGTATACTTCTTGGGAGTTAGAGATGGCTATCCCATTTAAAGGAATTTCACATTGGTACACTGTATGGCCAAGCATTTGTGGACACCTGGTCATCACCTTAATGAGCTTGTTGGGCATTATTTTGGAGTTCGCCCCCCTTTTGTGTCCATAACAGCCTCCTCTCTTCTGGGAAGGCTTTCCACAAGACTTTGAAGTGTGTATGTGGGAATTTGTGCACATTTGTAAGAAGTCAGGTATTGATGTTCAATAAGACCAGCTTCAAAATGGACATTCCAACTCACCACAAAGGTGTTTAGTAGGGTTGAGACCAAGAGTCTAGATCGTGAGGCCAAGAGTCTAGCATTGTGAGCTGGGTAATTGCGTGTTGTTGACATAGTTACGACTGCTGTTTTTTTTATAATCAGGAGCCATGAATAGAAGCTTATCAGGGACAATGACTCTTTCCATCTCAGATAATACTATATGTTTTCTTGTCACTAAGGATAGCAATATAGTGACTACTATGCTATTTATCATAGCCTGGTTGTTACACTGGACCTAAAGTTATATAACACTGAATAGCCTTCTACTTTGGAATAAAGTGGCGCTCCATGTTTTAAATTCAAATAAGCTTAAGAGGGCCCCTGAAATACTTGTTGGTCAGTGAGAAGATAGTGTTCATTGGCAACTGGCCTTGTGATCTCTGCTGGTTGTCCTCGTCTGTAAGGGCCCCTGGAATACTTGTTTGCCTTTGAGAAGACAGTGCTCATTGGCAACTGGTCTTGTCATCTCAGCTGATTGTCCTCTTCTATTGAAACACTTGGCCAGATGCTCACATCATATAATCAGTGCTGTGGAATCCCGGAGCACCTATTCTACAAGGCACATTTTGAAGGGTTTTATTTGGATGTAAGCCCAATTCCGGCCACAATAAACATAATTTATCATAGAATTGTGGTGGCTTTCACCAGTGTCAACATCCTCGTGGCCCAAAAGAGGCTAGGGCCTAAAAAAGAGAAAAACCTCAACTCACACTGCCTAGCCGGCAGTCTACCAGTCAGAAGGCTGTTCCTATTACAGTCCCCCCATTGTTTTGCTAATATTTTATTGAACTGTATGAGTAGTGGTCCCTTTGTAAACCTGGTATTTTCCCAAGGAACATTAAGAGGCTTTGCATCGTCCACAGCCTCATAAAAGATTGTCTACATTGGGCCCTCACCACCCATCCTTCCCAGAAATAGTTTCGCTGGAGTCTCAATTCAGGTGACATTGCTCTAAATCTGTACACTTTTATATTACAGGCTGAAGTCGGAGCAGTCCAGGACACAGAACCTCTCCCGTCTGATAAAGAATTCGAAGGGGAAGGGGATTATGAGGAAGGGATTTATGCTGATTGGTGGACAGAACCAAAGTCAAAAGGAGACTTGGCTAACAAGCCAAACGCTAACTAAAGCTTCTGGGCTACACCTGAACTCATATGATTCACACCAAATTGACATTATTCAGGAAATACTCCAATAGATCCAGAACATTCCATAATGATACCAACAGGACAGATTAACTGGTGCTATATAAAACTCCAAAAGGGTAAAAGGGACTTTTGTTCTTTGTTTTAATATCATTTTTCAGTCTGGTTTCCTTCAAACCTGTCAGAAGAGCAATGGTTAGCCTGGACCGTCTTTGCTCAGGTTCCACCTCTCACAGGCGCAGGCTACAGTCTTCCTTGGCTAACAAATGGATACACCAAACACTTGATAAGATGCTAAAGGAAACTATTGCCACTTAGTAACATTGGGTCAGATTTGTGATCCAAAGTTGGTTGCAATTGTCTAAAAATGACCTCGCTTTGGCAAGCCTGTCACCGAGGGATTGACAGACCAGCCAGAATCCATCCCGTACTTTGTTTTCTTCCTTTGGCCCTCATCCATGCTGGATGTTCCTGGGTTCAGCGCCAGTGATATCCTTATGGGGCATCCTACTATACCAACTGGAAACAACACAGGCTCCTCCGCTCCCATCTGTTCAAAGAAATTGAAAAATTAAATCAACATTTTATTTTTTCACCTCCAGAATCTTTCTGTTTGCTGACATGAGGCTTTAATATTCCATGTCTCTATATGAATTATTTTTATATATTTTTTCTGAAGCGTTACATGATATGGTGCATGTCTTATTGTTGGGTTGGGAAATGAAATAAAAAAAATAAGAATTAAATACTAAAAATGACACAATAAAAAAAAAAAAAAATAATAAATGAGTTTCTCATATCTACTTTGGTGCTAAAGAAAGGAACAGGAAGCCTAAGCAGAGCAGGATCAAGAGCTGATCATCTAAAAGGCAAACTGCAGCAAGGTGCTTTCATTTTTTTTTAAGCTTTTTGTTTACACACTTAGGGGTTATTCACAAAAGGGTGAAGAGTCAGGAGAAGTGAACAATCTAGGACAACATACCTGAACTGGAAACATTCTCCAATTCAGGTCACTTTCCGGTTCAGCTATGTTGTCCTAGATAATTCACTTCTCCAGACTCTTCACCGTTTTGTGAATAACCCCTTTTATTGTTATTGCTATAACATAGGGGGCTAAACAAGCTGTGTTCTCACCATCAGGAAGCCCCCTACCCCCCGAGCAATGACATTTAGCTGTCACTGGAGTGCATGTAGACAGGAAGTGGCTTCAAAGATGCTGGAGCAGATCAGCAGCACTGAGATACAAGCAAGAAAGGATGAAGACCGTATTTTCCAAATAAAACTGCATGGTAACTTTTTATGATACACAGTGCCTTAACAAACCAAACGTCAGTCATTTAGGATTAACATCTACTTTAATAACTGGGGAATAATATTCTATTATTCTTCATGATCTTAAATGTAGTCGGTGCATTGTGGTCATCCAATGATCCACAGCCATAGTTGAATCTTTTTCCATGATAATATGGGAACTCCAGATCTATTCAGTGATTTGATGCACTGGCTTGGAACTAGACTTGTGCGCCGTCAAAAAATTTGTTCCGTTTCGGAATATCCGTTATTTCGTAACTGAACTCAATTCGGATTCGTACGAAATACGAATTTTTGTTAGTGGCGGTTATATTTTCGTAACTTTACGAACATTCGTTATGATGAAGTTAAAAAGCAAAATACCTTTGTTAATATTGGAGTGGTAGTTGTTTTTTTTATCCGAAATACGAATTCCGTTAACGGATTCCGGATCCGAATTTCGTATTAAAAAAAACTACCATCAATCAACTCCAATATATTAACAACGGTATTTTGCTTTTTAACTTCAATATAACGAATGTTCGTAACGGAACGAAAATACGTCAACGGAATTTCGTATTTCCTGCCTGTATTTGTAATGCAACTCTCAGCAGCAGAAGAGAACCTCTGATTGGTCAACCAAAACGAAATCCGAATTCAGTTAACGGATTCCGTATTCCGAATTTCGGATTTAAAAAAAAAATACCATCAACTCCAATATAAATGTACTTTGCTTCTTAACTTTAATATAACGAATGTTCGTAACGGAACGAAAATACGTCAACGGAATTTCGTATTTCCTGCCTGTGTGTGTAACTGTGTATTGTAATGCATCAGCAGCAGCGGATCCGTATCTCGGATTAAAAAAAAATCTTGTCATGTTGTTCAACCTCATTTACAGGGGTGATATTAGTTCCTGTTTCAAAGAAATTCGGATCCGAAATTCGTTAACGGAATTTCGTATTTCGGATATAATTCGGAAACTGCCATTCGGATTTCGGATGCTCCGAAATTCGGAATTTCAGGAAAATTCGTACGAATTTCGATTCGTAACAAAACGAATCGCACATGTCTACTTGGAACAAACAACCAGATTAGAATGTGTTATATTTGTAAAGTTTCCTTTCAAATCCTGTAGAAGCTTTACCTTCTGATGGCCACTAGATGGCAGTATAGCACAGGGACTACTGCACGTAAAGCAGTGAACGGGTCACTTCAAGGATTTACAATCCAGAGGTATGCAACCTCACCTGTGGTGAGACTACAAATCCCATGCTGCCTCTGCTTCTGGGTGTCATGCATGTGGCTGTCAGTCTTGCAATGCCTCATGAGATGTGTGATTCCACAACAGCTGGAGTGCTGAGGTTGCCGACCCCTGGTATACAAAAATACCCCTGGTTGCCGACTCCTGGTATCTTGTTATTGAAATAGCTCCTTTGTCTTTAGTCATGCTTAGGTCGTACATGGGTTACTCTACCTGATTTTATCATTTTGGACAGAGTTCTCCTTTAATGTGCTGCAATTAGGCAAAAAATAAAGCAAATTTATACTGAAAACACGATGTGCTATAGAAAAGCCACATTTAGAAATGCCTTATGTCATGCAAAATAAACACACATGTGGACATTTATTCTATGGATCAGAAGCCATCATCAAAATTCTGCCATGGCAGAGCTGAAGTCGATTGAGAACTCAGAAATTCGGTCCAATGGAGGCTCTTTGGTGTATGATTTTTATTTAATTCGATCAGCTTAGTCAAATTAAGCCCTCATTCACACTGTAAACGGCCGGCACGTACAGCTCCGTGCTGCGTGCACGGCCGCACCGAGCAGCTCCCGGGAAGGATGAGCGCTGCGTGTGATTAGTACACAGCCCCCGTCCTTCTCTATGGAATTACGCAGCCATACGCCCCCCTATGCTCACCTCAAGTGCAGGTCCGTAGGGGTGCGTGTTTCCTGGCTCGGACATAGACAGGATCCATTCTGTCAGCGTACGAGTACGCTCACCCGCACGGACATGCAGGGCGGGTGAGCGCAGGGCGGCGTACGGCCGTGTAGTCCCATAGAGAAGGACGGGGGCTGCGTACTAAAATCGATATGTTTAAGGCCCCGTTCATACCATATCCAGTGCGTCCCGTTCAGTTCGCGAACGAAACGCACTTGTTAGCATACATGAAGCTGGGATGGAAGGGGCGTGTCGGTGCCATTCATGTCAATGGCACCACAGACACGCCCGCAGTGCGATTGACCGCACCGGAACGTGAGGTTCAGAAGTGCCCCCGTTCCAGTGCAGTGCGATCTGAAAAAATAGTGCATGCAGCATTTTTTCAGATCGCACTGCACCGGAACGGAGGGCACTCCTGTACCTCACGTTCCGGTGCAGTCTATCTCACTGTGGGCGGGGGGCGTGTCTGCGGTGCCACTGACATGAATTTCACCGCCCCCTCCCACCCCAGAATGCGGCCCGGCTTCACATATGCAATCCAGCGCCTTCCGGGCGTGAACTGCACCGGGATGCATTGGATATGGTGTGACTGGGCCCTGAGTCGTATATGTCCGCACTGAAATGCTCGAGACAAGAAATCACATTTATTTCTATAGCCCCTGTTCGCAATTGAGCGTAGTGTTGCGTATAAAAATACGCCTGTCGCCAGAAAAAGTACATGAGCTTCTCGCTAGCAGATTACAGCACGTTTTGTCCCTATAGGCTCAAAAGGAAATGATTGGAAACACGCAACACAATTATTTTGCGTGTTTTATGCGGCTTTGCCCATTTACAACAATGTGTCACACGGCTAGTTGTGAACGGGGCCTAAAGGACATACACACAGTAGATTTCACAGTCAAATTGTAACGTGTACGGTGAACAGAAACAGGATCTGAATGGTCAGCGGCATAACGTCGACTTGTTTTCACCTCGTCTGGATCTTTAGGTTTTAGAGACGCTCTGGTGGGTCAGGTAACAGCGGTGATCGGTCATAAAGCAGATGACTCCGATTGCGTATTTAAAGCCCCATGAGTCACATGTTTACTGCTTATCACTTTCAGACTCGGTCATAGTATTCATGGCTTCCTACGCCTAGCAGTGAAATCCATGTAAAGACACCAGTCACCGGCCCAGGAGTTTCACTGGAGATCCGTCACCTAGTAGTCATAACAGAAGACGCTTCATAGACACAGAACACGGGAAGATTGAGTTGATAGTGTTTCAAATGACGCGTTAGATGTATTGCTTTCGACTTCTGGGGAAAAGAGGGAATGAGTAATTAAAGCAAAAACAACCAGTGCAATAGCAACACGAGTACCCAACCCTCAGCCCTCAGGGGCCTACCTCTGATCCTATGCAAGAATATCTGTTTTTATCCTTCCCCATTAAAATGGAACCATGGACAAAATGACATATACGATGCAGCCTATCCCTAGCATTACCACAGCGGCGTTTGTTTTTCTGCACCCTGTAAAGTTTTATTACCTCTTGATCTTGCCAGTAGATCTGTTGTTTTTCCACTTCTTTAGACAGAGTGACAACGCTGTTCTTTCTGTAATTAAATGCACTGCAGAGCTGTCACCCTGTGGACTGGGTGGTCTTAGATTGACTTGTCATTTTAAATTAATTTTAAAGTGATATGAAAGTCAAAAGGTTTATAAGCGATTTCAAAGGCTGATAAATCACGTGCTATGGATGCTGTTCCTTGTTATCCAAAAGTTTTAGCTTCCTGCAGAATCAGC